GGTGGAGTCCCTAAGTCCCACACCCACACTCACCCTCCCACCTATTCAGCTACTCAGAATGATGGGCCCCTCCAAATCTGTGGGTCACCCTGCCCCAATGTAAGGGAGAGTGGTCGGCAAGTACTGCTGGTTACAGAATTTAAAGACTTCAGGAAAGAAGTGCACTTGGTAATGTTAATGTCACCTTCAAGACTTAATGTGAGGAACGATGCTTGGAGAAAATTAGGATACAAAAGAATAAAGTGTATTTCTGCCTCTTTTTTGTAGATTCAATCCTGGTTTTGTGTAACATATAATATTTGAGTAACAAGCACACCGGTTTATGTGCTTAGTTTCCAAGTGGTCTGACTCAATGAAACGAGACTAATCAAACATCCCTAAGAAAATGAAGTGACTTTTGTTCTAAAGTTATTGGCATTGTTAGGTGCTTTTCAGTCAGTTCTGACTCGTAGTGACCCTGCGTAGCACAGAGCCAACACTGCCATCCTGTACTAGTCTAACAGTGCTTAGGGAGGCTTGAGCCCAATCCATTTCTTTAAGGGGCTTCCTCGTTTTCACTGGCTCGCGAGTTTACCAAGTGTGAAGTTCTTTAGAGCCTGGTCCCTGGTGATAACATGCCCAAAGTACAGGAGACCAAGCCTCGCCATTCTTGCTTCCAAGGAGTATTCTGATTGTGTTTCTTCTGAGATAGATGTATTTATTCTCTGACAGCCCCTGCTATACTTGACCAACACCACGAATCAAGGACATTAATTATTCTTTGGTCTTCCTTATTCATTTTTCAGCTTTTGCATCCATCTGAAGGGATCGAAAATACCATGACTTGGGTCAGGCACACTTTAATCCTCAAAGTGACATCTTTAATTTTTAACAATTTTAGGGGGTCTTTTACAGGAGCCCTGGTGGTGTTGTGGTTACACATTGGGCTGCAATCTGCATGGTTGGCGGTTTGAAACCACCAGCAGCTCCATGGAAGAAAGACTGGGCTTTCCACCCCATAAACAGTTACAGTCTTGAAAACCCACCTGGGGTCGCTGTGAGTCAGCATTGACTCCCTGGCAGTGAGTTGGGTTGGTTTTTGCAGCACGAGGAACCCTGGTGGATCAGTGGGTTAAGTGATGGGCTGCTAATCATGAAGTTGGCAGTTCAAACCCACACTACAAGGGAGCAAGATGCAGCTGTCTACTCCTGTAAAGATGCATAACCTCTGAGACCCTGTGGGTCAGTTCTAGTCTGTTCTCTGCGGTCTGTATAGTTGGAATAACTATGGCAGTGGGTAGGTTTGTAGCAGGTTTACCCAATAGAATAATACATCCTTTGATTTCTTGCTTGCAGTTTCCATGGCTACGGAGTGTGGATCCAAGTTCCATCAAATCTTTATCAATGTCAGTGTTTTCTCCGTTTATCATGATGTTGCTTATCGGTCCAGTTGGGAGAGATTTTGTTTTCATGTTGCGGTGTAACCCACCCTGAAGGCTGCCATCTTC